GCTTGCTAAAATTTGAGCATCATTGATGTAGGAAAATATATTTTCTTGGAGAATGGCCTCATACTTAACCATTTTTTCCTGAGTTCTATGGTCTAACCACAAGCAGAATCATTTTAGGTCTCATTAAAGAAAAAGTCAAAGAAGGACATGCTAAGAAGACATCAGTAGAACCAACCCTTGGCAAAACTGAAGTGAAGGATATTGGATGCCATCTTATTACCCTCAGTTAGTTAGTAAAAGGCCCACACTATTTGTAAGAGTGGATGATACAACTTTTCTAGGTTCCCTGCCTAGAAATGACCCCATAATGCAAAGTGATTAACATTGGATCATTAAAAAGAGTGTGAGGAAAATGTTCAAAATTTGTTAGCACATTTAAAGGATCAAATCTTATGCTGATAAGGACAAACATACTTATATACAGATAGAAGACCTGCTTAGAAAACCCATCTCACTAAAATAAGGAACATAAACCACCCTGATGGAATTTTTAATTTTTTTAATTAAAATATTTTTGTTCAATTTTTTTTAAATGAAGCCACACAAATACTCCTATTGGTCAGCTAACTATGATACCATGCCCTTTCCCAAATCTTACTGCTATGACTGTATAGAACAAATTTCCAATAAGAAATTATTGAAAAATTTATAAACCAGAAATCTGAAAAATTACTGCTTTTGCAGTATTAGTGTTATAATAGCATATATATTTCTTGTTCATAACATCAGAAAGGAAGAGAAGGTGGGACATTAGGGAAGCAATAAAAGAAAACCCATCTATAAATCTTTTCTTAAGATGGCATAGGCAGTAATGGGGGTTTTGGTCAGTATGACCTTGGACCAAGTAGGACAAATACAATGTCTGCTTGGTATACAGTAGATGCTCAATCGATGATGATACAATGAAAGAAGAAGAAAAAAAATGAAAGAAGGAATGGAATGTGCAAAAGATGAGGGTTTAGATCCCTGTGACAGAAAGTTACCACAGGGGTATGCAGATGGAATATAATGATGTCTGCATGACTTTGGAAGAATCTTAGGAAATCTTTAAAAAGCATACATAATTCATGATGCTGTTCTTTAACATATTTAAAGAATCTTATACCTGGAAATGCCTTCATATTATTCAAATTTTGTCAAGTGTTTATATCCCATAAATTCCTACAGTCAATAAAGCATGTACTCTTTATGTTAAAGTGTTTTTGTAGCTTCTGCTATTTGTAGGTTATTCGTGAGTGCAGAGAAATGGTAGGATATTCCTTCACATACTACTTGTGCTTGGTGAATAAAGAGCTTTACTATACCACTCAACATGTGTGCATTGTTTCAAAATTAGAAAGGTTTATCATCATTCTAATTTTTTCCCATTTGTTTTTGATATTCATTTTTAATTTTTACTTGATCAAATGTTAGCATTGGTTCTGATTTGAGAACTAATTCATTAAAATCACTTTTGGTTGATGTGAGTACAATTGCTGAGTTCTCAAGGCAATGAGGAATATAATGCTTTAAAATTTTACATTTGAAACTACAAGTGTGATCTTAAGGGATGCACTGAACTGGGCTCATTAATCTGTTGGTTTGTAAAGGAAGATTTCAAAGTTAATATATCTGAGCATCATTAAAAAAAAAGAGGGGAAGTATGGAAAAAGTACGATATTTCACATCTGTGTTGCTTTGTTAAGTTCAAACTTAATAGGATATTGAAAAGAGGAGACAAAAAGGGCATGGGAGTCACAGTTCAAAAAACCTGATTCAGATCTTAACTGATACAAGTTATGTCCTTATGTGACCGTGACTGTGGCACTTAATATTTCTAAAACTCAGTTTCCTTACCTGTAAAAGAGAATAATGATAATACATAATCATAATCAGAATACATAACTTAATATTGTGACTATTAAATAATAGTATGGACATGATTACTTTTTGTAACTGCAAAGAATGATGGTGTCCTACATCATAAACATACCGTTAAATGGTCAGGTAGTAATGTGCATACCAATGTGTCCACTTTGAAGAAGGAAATAGGATTTTGTTCCCACAGAAAGTTTCAAACAGGCAAACCAACATCTTTTATACTTCTATTAGTAGATTCAAAATAAATTTGTAACTCTCTATACACTCCATTTCTATGTATAGGTAAATTGTGATTGGAGCTTACTTTACTGTTGATGATCACATCTGTATAGCTGTTTCTGCAATTTTGACTGACATTGCATACAGCTAAAAAAAACCTCAGCATGGCTTTCTTTTAAAATCAAAATGAATGGATCATGTAACCAAACCCAGGATATTCTGATAGTATGTAACTCTATTCCTTCTATTACACTATTTTGCCCAAATGTAAGACTCTTTTTCTCTTCTCAGGTTTATATCTGCCTTCCCACTACTCCAGCTCCCTATTTCTCGATTTTTCTTTGTCTTAGCAGACAGAAGCAAAGATGAACTCCTACTTGGTTTTTATCATGATATAGGGACTGACATAGCATTGTAAATGACTAAATTCTTTATTTTTATAGAAATATGATGTCATAATGGTGGTGGGCTCAAATTTCCCACCACAGATGTTGGATAATGCTTTAGTTTCACATACATTGTTCTAAATAGAAAATGTTCTCGACAGGACATATGCGTTGCTCTTCCAGTAATGGAAGTAAAATTGTTTGATATGAACCTCATTTCTTGCTTTGTTCCCTTTCTGAACAAGAACTTAAATTCATAATACAGTGGAGTGGTTATAACTGTGGTCAAAGAATGAAATCCACTTGACTTGGTTATGTGCAAACCAAAACCTTGGATTTATCAGCTTCCTGCCAAAAACACATTTTGAACATATTCTTAAGGTCATGTTCAAAAACAGAACTGTGAAATTTGCTACAATAAGACCATATACCACAAATGGGTTGAACTGTTTGATAGGAGAAGACTGTGTATATGTGGGTTTAGGAATGAGGGATTTAAAAGTTTGAATTATACATGGAGAAACATAATTTCGACAAACCACGTTTGTAGTGTGAATAGAGGAAGCACCTTCATTGGTTCTAAACTAACTTTTGTCAAACATGTTATCTCCTCCAGATATCCAGATACAGAATCATAGGATTGAACTGGATGTGACTTTAGACATGAATTGTCTCACTTTAAAAATCAGGAGGAGAATCAAAGCTAAAAGAGGTTAAATGGCTTTCCCACAATAACATGGTCAAATAATGGCTGAGCTTAAGTTTGAAGTTAGGCCTCCAAATATTCATTCCAATGCTATTTTTGCTATACCACACTATCTCCTTGCATGTATTTCCCTGTACTTATAACCAAGTCCTTATTTGTTTTAAAGAATGGCTAAAAATTGAGCTATTAATAGCTTTCCATACCTTACATTTAAATAAATAGTGCAAATAGAATGGATCACTTAGCACGGATTCTTTTTAACTTTTACCATCAACATAATCTTTTGACCTCATTTTTAAGTTTACATGCTGCTGTCACAAATCTTTTACCACATTCTGAAAGAAAATGTTACATTTTACTCACTAAAAGAAATTTTAAAATAAAAAATGTTTCAAGAGTGCTTGAATGGTACAAATGTAGCCATTGGTTTTCTTTGGACATTTATTACTCTTCTTATTTATGCTTAAAATGAAAAACATACTAAGGATGAAACTGGTAAGATTTTAATAGTACTCAACCACTATGGAGCAAACAGAGACAGAGAAAGGCATATAATCACTTAACTATATTGCCTTGCTTTAGTCAATGCCACTTATAACAATCTATCATACAAATATTTCCAGACTATCCATCACAACAAGAATTAAATTATGTGAGATCTCAAGAGGTCTAGAATTTGGAACTTGTTTTTACCAAAGACCTATCAGTTCTGTAACAGGACTTTTGATCACACCCCTAAATGAACTGCCAATAGAAAAGTAATCTGTTTTATCATATTTTTCTTATTAAAACATTAAAATCAAATAGCTTTAAACTCAGTTTCCTCTCTGTCCTCAGGAGCATACCATCTGCATCCTATGAAATTGGAAAAGGACAGAAAATTATTCTCTAATTCTATGGTTAAATCAATATTAGGGTTTGGGAATATAACATAGTGTCTTTCATATTGAACATAAAGACACACCTCTTCCACCGCTACAACCATTTTCTCACTTCTTACTAGGAGCCAGATACTGTACTAAGAACTCTACATGAATTAGTTCATTTAATATTACAGTAACCATGTTAGAGATGAGGAAACTGAGACCACCAGTAGCTTCACGATCATGCAGCTAGTAAGTCAAATTTCAAAACCTGAGTACTGTAATAATAATCTTTACTAACACAAAGAGCTATAATTTATAGAGTGTTCACCATGTAGCAGGTTCTGTTCCAAGCACTGCCCCCTTATTTTGACTTATTCATCCTTACGATAAACTGATATTGTGGAGAATTTTATTATTCCAATTTTTTTCAGATGAAAGACTGAGGCACAGAAAGGTTAAGTGACTTGTTCAAGGTCTCCACAGCTTGTAAGTGTGACCTTGAGCACACTTACATTTCTTATATTTATAATGAAAACCTATGGAAAACTTCCATGGGTGGGTTTGTGACTGGATGCTCTTTCTTTAAATGATTTTAGAACATATCTTACAACTAAATTTTGTTCAAATTAGGATTACAAAGGGAAAGATGCTTTAAAAATCCAAGCAATAATACTACAAAGGAATTGCCTGACAGCAATTCAGTTCTTCTATCATGATTTGGCATTATCTTCCATGTTTACTGTAAGATATATTAAAGTCTAACTTTTAGCCATTTTCAAAATTAATATTAATAATTTTAAAACATTTATATATGAACTTAACAAATAATATAAAATATCCCATCCTCACAAAATATTATGAAAATCAAATGAAAAAAATTACTTTTATTGTTCCTTACAAACAAGCTTTATCTGCATATTATTTTCCTGTAATGAGGAACAACAATGCTCAAAACGTGCCTACCTGCAGAAGCTTCCACCTGGTGTTCAGATCTTCCAAAGTGGTGAGGTTATATGGTGAGAGCTGAATGCCCAACGTAGTGAGTTGGCGAGCAAGGTCATTGACGTGGCCTACCTTCTCTTTAAGAGGCGCAATTTCTCCTCGAAGTGCCTGTGTGAAACAGTCAGGAGCAAATTGGAAGATAAGAACATTTAAAACAAAGAAACATCGACACCTGGGAACTACAAAGTATATCTCATTCTGTTTGGGATGTAGTCAATGATGTTTGCTCTATGCTATGGTCTGAATATTTGTGTCCTTCCCCAAATTCATAGGTTGAAGTCCTAAAAAAAATAATAAAAAGAAATCTTAACTCCAAGGCAATGATATTAGGAGGTGGAGGTTTTTGAGAGGTGATTTTGGGATTAGTGCCTTTATAAAAGAGACCTTCCACCATATGAGGATGCAGGGAAAAGGTACTGTCTATGAGGAATGGGCGCTGACCAGACACCAAATCTGCTGGTGCCTTGATCTGGGACTCCCCAACCTCCAGAACTGTGAGAAATGAATTTCTGTTGTTTATAAGCCACCCAGTCTATGGTATTTTTGTTATTGCAGATTCAACAGACTAAGACACTCTATTATGGTGATATTACAATAGACATCTGCTAATGGATGAATAATAACTTTTACTTATTGAGCACTTCTTAGGTGCCTAATGATATGATGAGCTCTATCCACACATGAACTTACTTTATTCCTATACAACAACCCTATGAGGCTAGTAGTTCTCTTTTTACACATGAGAAAATGAACTTGCAGAGGTTGAACTTTGCCAAGGTCCCATGGATAAAAATTGAGAAAGCTGGGATAAATATACGGATTTGACACCTCTCCAAAGAAATTGTGGATTGACAAAGTAACAGGAAAAATATAGTGCTGCTAGATTCCAAATTCTACCCATCTCACAATCAGAAATGGATCTTTATTTTTTACAATACAAAGATACACTCAATCTTAAAATATGGCATTCATACTTTGTGCCAACCATGTAATAAATAGTTTCATTTAGGGAGTAGGGTATTTTGTCAGTCCTAAGAATGACATCCTGGTCTCCTGGTACTTTAGTTCTTGTAGCAACGACTTCAGAAGCCTCCCGTGGGGCTTCTCAGCTGTCTGTAAAGCACTAGAGCAGGAGTCTCTGATGCAATGCATCATGACAATCTGTTGAGTAGAAGAACCCTGTGCAGATATGGGGAGGATATTATCATGCATCATATCTACCCCATTGAGATGGCATTTATGGATCTTTAACGTGATGCATGACGTCCAAATGTTCCAGTGAGCTCTTTCTAAGGAACAAATTCCCTCACTTAGGAGAACAGTTTGTGTAATGTAATGTCTGTGCACAAGGACAGCATCACTTACTCGACTATATGTGCTGTTTTGACTTGCTTGATGTGGGCAGGTGTTATTTCTCTGTCTGGTTCACTATGTTGATAAAAACCATTGCTTACTCTGACCTCAACTGTAATCCTTGCATTTCCTCCCACTTCAGATGGAAGGAGCCAGTATATACAATCAAAATAAGAATGGCATTATCCTCTCAAATCAACCTGAATACCTCACCACTAAAATGTGGTGTTGTATGGACTATAAGAGCCTTATATAGTTTTTAGACAAGATATTGTGACACTCTGTTGAATGTATAGTCTTAAAATTGGTCATTAAAAAATCATGGGGTTTCTTTGGGGGATGATGAAAATGTTCTGGTATTAGTGGTTATGGTGGCACAACCATGTATACTTTAAAAGGTAAATTTTATAGTATGTGAATATATATTGATAAAAAGAAACAAACAAGAGCCCCTTCTGACCACACACATAAAAAAATCATATGTGATGTATTCATCTTTATTCAACTTCATGTCAGTGGAATGTCATTGGAATCAGTCTAAAACTAAGTTTTATAGAGCTTGATAGTAAATATTATTATTTCATTTCTTTATGAGTAAAGACATGGATTAAAAGAATCAGAATAAGTGCCCATGGAGAAAGGTGGTTTAAATCCACATGTATGAATGCATATCTCTAAAAGCAAACGATCCATAATAATTTTGTTTTGCATAATAGAAAGGTTAGAAAACAGATTTCTTGAATGTCAATGGGGAAACCTGGACAAAAACAATGATTACAAAATGAAACTGTTCTCCTCTGGATAATAACCTGCATTTCTAGTCACCACAAATAAATATTATGTGAGGGGCTATCATAAACAGGAACCAGTTCAGAAAGGGCAGGCTGGCAGGCAGAATCTTTCAATAATGCAGGTGAGCCCTTTGTGCTAATCATCGCCCTTTACCAGCAAGGCTCTCAGCCATTAAGTTGGGGATTCATCCAGTTAAGTTATATCTAGATTTCAGTTCCCTTTAGGTTACATTATGTACATGTTCAAATGTCTCTTATGAGAATATTCTGATTTTCACTTTCTCCCCCGAAGTTCCAGGCACACATTTTAAATCCGCATGGGTGTTTTAGAGGATGAAGGGGATTCAAATGTAAGTTTCAGTACTCATAATTAATCCCAACATTTTCTCTTTCCCTACTCCCTCTTCTCCTTCTTCTCCCTCTTCCTCCTGCTCCTCCTCCTTCTTCTTCTTCTTAATTTACTTTTCTCCCTCTCTCCACTCTATAATGTCATGGGATCTTGTGGCTTCTTCTTTTCTGCTCTTGTCAAGCAATGACAGTTGAAGTTTTCTGAACTGATCTCCACTTAGGACTCACCAAAGTAGTCAAAGTCTTCATTCCCTCTGTGAAACACTGATGGGAGCCTCTAACAGCCTCTAAATAAAATGTTCCAGGTGTCTGTCAGTACACGTGGCCCTTCTGCTCTCATTAGTTGAGTTGTCAGTTGTGTGTATGTTCTCAAAACCTGTTTTTCCAGTTAGTACTGCAATTACATAATTTAATTAGAGATTTCCTAAATCCAAGAAATATTAGTCTGAAGAGAAAAAGTTATTATTTCTATAAAAAACAGGTCAAATGCTCTGGAAATTTGCTTCAAAAAGAAAAAAGAAAATAAATATTGTTGAAGTAGGTATGGACAAGACAACTGTAAAAGATTAGAAAACAACCCTAAAAATTTAGAAGGATTCTGTATTCAGAATGCTCCTCATGTTTCCTGATGAACTTTCTCTACATTAAAGACACTGAAATTGGAAATCAAAAGTTTATATTAGCAGTGTGATTTATGGAGAACTCCAATCAGTGAATCTACACTCAAAGAAAAAACTTCCAAGCAACATTAAAATTTTGGTGACTACTTTAAATTAAAATAAAATGTTTAAGCCATATTTTTTATGATTCCCTCATTTAATTGACTTTTTCAATTAACTGTTGAACTATAGGTCCTAATTGAGTTGGAAAGAGACTATCTCTTATAAATTTTTACTGCTACTATTACTTTTCTATCACTGCTACTGCTACTAGTACTATCACTAATTAAGAAAAAAATTCCAAATGTTCAGTTTAATCTGAAAGCCTAAATTTCTGTTGAGATAGTTGATAATAGAAGCTTTCATTGGAGAGAAGTGAGTTGATAAAGAGATAATTTGAAACAAAGATTCACTTTGGGGAGGTATTTTGATGGGCCTGAGCAGACTGAAGGACTTTAGCCAGCTAGAAATCATCATGAGGGCACTAAGCACATGAGGACGGAAGAAAGGAGATTACTGCCGATGGAAAAGATGAAAAGAGAAAGGAGGCAGAAAAATGCTCGAGTCAATCTTCACTTTGGCATTTGGCCTGCGTTTTGGTGGTAGCTCCATACTACCCAAGGATGCTGAACTGTACACTTTGCTGCTGCAGGCTAGCAGTGCCCAGAAGTTTACGTAACAAGAAGTATGTCCTCCTAATGGCGGAGTCACAAGACATACGTAAAGGCTGAATACAGGTACTGTGCCATTTAAATAGGTGCAACATTGGGTTTGGCTATATTTCACATCTTAGAGCTTTTAATATTAACACATAAATTTATGTTTAAATTATTAAATACTATACATAAAATGTCATAAAGTACAGCTGACTCTGAGCAACATGATATGCTATTTAAATGACACCAGGATTGCATTAGATTTTATTCTAGTTTGGAAGCAGTAAGTGAGAAAACACTGAAGGGAGCCATTATGCTGTGGGTTTTCTTTGAATCACTTAAACATCTGGAATATGTTCTCCATGAAAGAGCAAACCAAGTCTAATTTTATTATGACTAGTTTCACGCAGGCAGAATTTTCACTTCATTAAATGTTGTCTGATTATAGATATAAAAGTACTGATTTAGAATAATATATAAGTCTGATATGTCAAGTTTTCCTTCTTTTCATAAAATTAAATTGCCTGTCAGATCTTTGCTTATCTTTCTGTGGTTAAGGATTTGTTCAAATACATATTTAGAATTACAGTCATCAACTACTTTTATAACAAAAGAAAGGAATTGTCTACGAACTAGGGAACGTTATTTTTGAGGGAGCAATTTTGACTTGACAATTAAGAGACCATCCCTACCGCAAAGCACAGAAGGTCAGTTTGGAAGGCTAGAAAGAGTAAGTTGAGAGAATTAGACTTTGAGGGCTTTTATTTTCTCTGGGAAATAGAAAGCAACAGACCTGGTGTAGTGTGCAATGCAAGGCATAATGTGCAGTGCATGGTGTGCAATGAATATTCACTGAATGAAAACATGAATTAAGGGTAAGTGGAAACATTTGAATCACTGTGATAAGACTGCAAGAGAGAGTTGACCTAAGAAATGTAATGAGGTTACCAGACACCGCTGAGGGCCCATTTGAGGTTGAGGATCAAAGTGTTTTGGCAGAACCAATCTGCCCAAATTTCTCCCTTTCTCCAAGAGTGTTTCATGTAAGCATGGAGAAAACAGTTGATCCGGGTTTGGGGTTTTGTCAAATGATTGTGACACATACACTTAAGGATAAGGGAGTTTCAATGTGATTGAAAAACAGACTGTGGAATCTAAACTGGATTAGGATGAAAGTGAAGCAAAGTGAAGATTGTAGATGGAGAGAAAGCAGAAGAGTCAATTGTGGAGGTTTAGGATAATCCAAGAAAGGCCACAGCAGGAGTAGCTGTACAAGCAAGCGAGGGGGAGAGGAGAGTCTG